GGTGTTCATCAAAACAGCCACCAGATTCTCTATTTGTGACATTCTGAATTTCGATCATTTTTGTAATTTATGAAATGAATATTTCATCGATGCACTTTTAGTTAAATCTCTCTCAGAATTAATCACTCATGAAAAGACTAACTGTTAGGGAAAGACCAATTAGGAATTAAGTACGCATGACCTAAGGACTCGACCATGGTTTGACACTTCGACCATGAGGATTGACGAGGGATAATTTTGGGCCATTATAGACTGATCAAGAGATAGTTATGGAACGATTTGCCAATGTTATATAATCGGATCGCGGGTGATTCCGTTTGACCATTGTACGGATTTCAAATGACCCAAGACTAATTTCTAATGATCGTGTCCTTCGGAACTAGTGATTTACCCTCTCAATTACATGACAACCGAAGTCACTATAGCTTGATATCGAATCAACCATGGGTCGAATACGCGTAACTCCTAAAGCCGCTCGTTAGTTTGAGATACACTAAAGTCGTAATTGATTGATTTTGGCCATGAATTAAAATCCGAACTTGGGTATCGAACTTTCAAGGATATCAAGACTAATCTATTGGACGTCGCCTCATTAAACTTATCTAGTTATCGGTTCGCTTGGAAATTCTTGGAAAAGTGAAATTCAGACCGGAAATTGGAAAATGCCTTTTTACCCCTAAGTGTTTTAGAATCTCTTTGTTGTGTGGAAGAGCCTTTTGGTCCTTTGTACCCTCCCTAGTGTGGCCGACCAGCAAAGGATAGATTTGCCCCTCTTGTCTTTTGTTATTTTCTTGTTTGCTCTTGTTTGGCTTGTCTTGGAAGATTCATTTATAGCCTTTGGATTTGACTTGGGGACCAAGGAGTGACCCTAGCCCTTCATTTTGGATAGAGTTACCAGCCCATTCTCTCTCTCCTCCATTATTTTCAGATCAGCCATTTTCACTCACTCACTCTCTCACTCTCCCTCTTGCTCGGCCAAACCCCACCGTCCACCACCATCACCGACCAACCACCACCATCACGCCACCACCAGCACCACCACATGTAGACCACCGCCTCTAGTCGCCGTGACTAGCCACCGTCGCCACCGTCCACCGCTTGTGCCACCGCTCGCCGCTGCTGGTTGCTGCCCCTTGTTGGCTTACAAGGTAAGGGTGCTTGTGGTTCTTCATGACACGTTGGATGCTAGAATTGCATGTTTAGGATTGTCCGGAGGTACGTGTTAAATTAAGCGAGGCTTAGGGAGTTTACTTATTGAGTTTTATCTCATTGTTGTTGTTATTAACCATTTCAGACCCCCGACCATGAATGATCCTCCTTAACGTTTTGGGATACCGATGGATATGGACCATATGTTAACGGAGTACCCAGTAGAAGAGGATAAGGTTCATATTAGGCATGCGTCGACGGTTTGGGTGGATGAAGGTTTGGCGTTGTGGAAGCCACATGCCTTTTTGGCTTGGTTTTATAGAGATGGGGACATTTTGTTTGGTCCTCTTCAAGGCTTTGATGTTCCCCATGATGGCGATTTGGGAGTTGTTGAGTGGGATCCCATGGAGATAGATCCTCCCGACGAAGCCGTCACCGATCTTGACACTGGACCTGAGAGTTCAGATTCTGACCCGGATTATTTAGAGTCTGATCTGGGAACGCCTCCGGGGTACCATGGGGATTGATGATGGATTTGGATACCCCATCCTTTTTGGACCATCCCAGTTGTTAGAGGAGCTAAGTCGACCCGACTACCGATCCCTTTTTGTGTATGCGAGTAGTCTTATAGGAAGTGGTGTTGACACCTAAATTTTGGCGTATCATTTAGTGTAATTTGCATAGAAAATTAGGGATTAAATTTTTAACCCCTAAACAAAAATATTTAAATTGCATAAACATATAGTTTAGGTCCATTTAATTTAATTGCATTTTTTGCATCAGATTGGCAGTGGCGAATGAGCTTAAAATTTCATCGAACGAGACTCGGCTCGCTTGGAATGCAAAGGCCGGGAATTACAAGTCAAACGGGCTCGGTTGTTTTAATTTGAGCTTAATTCAGCCCATTATCCTTAATTAATTCAGCCCATTTAAATTAAATTAAAATCTAAGCCCAAGCCTAAGCCCATTAGGACTAGAGAGCCCATCTAATTGACCTAGATTAGTGTTATATATACATCATTAGGTCAGGATTTTAGGGGGCTTTTCATAATTCCTAGAACACAATTCTTGAGAGCACAGGAGATACATTGAGAGACGGCAGAAAAAAAGGAATAGAGAGGGAGGCTGGGGTTGTTTCCTCGGCAACACCCGCCACAATACACAAGGAAGAAGAAGCTGGCGACGGAGTGCACTGGTCATCCACGCTTCACTTCAACAATTCACGCCCAAGTCCAAGCTTCTTCACGGGAGGCCATACAATTCAGAATTCACGGCCACAAAACAGAGAATACAGCCCCGCAGAGGGAGAGAAAAAAAGCGTCAGAGAAGAAGACCAAGAAAAGACAAAAGAGGGGATCTCTCTTCTCTCTCGGTGAATTCTACATCTTCAAGGGGGAGAACACACTTTGGCCACAAAAGAGAAAAAGACAAAAAGAAAGAGTCTAAAAGATTTTCCCGGTGAGACCATCGAGTCCAGTCGCCTTGGCGTGAAGTCCAAAATATTTCACCCGTCGTCCGGTGATTACCTAGCAGCCTTCACGAAGACTCGTTGTCGCGCTCAACAGCCGTCCACGCTTCAGGTCAGGCGAGTCTTCAAGCAATTCCAGCAAGACCCAAATTCATTGCCGCGTCATTCATCATACCACAGCGAGTCTCCCGCCGTTGGTCCCGCCACCACCGCGCGCTCCACTGCGCCCGTCGCCGGACGCCACCGTGAGCCGCCGCGCCGACGCCGCGTCGCCCGTCGTCCGAGTCCGATCCCGATCCGCAAACTCGATCCCGAGTCGATTTGAATTTGGGAATTATCTGCAAATTAGGTAATTCAACATTATCCGATATTTTCAGAATATTTAATTTCCTAATATGGGTGTTTGAATATTTCGTGAATATCATGTGGATATTTAGATATCTTAGGATAACGTTCGATATATCCGCAATATCTTTAAATATTCAAAATTAGGAAAACTTCCTAATTTAGCAACGTATCTGGACGACTATCCGACCTTATCCCTAAGGTTCGATACGCGGCGATACGGAAAATTATTATCCTATCCATAACCACTTGGGTACGATAATGATTTTTATCCGCTTTCCAAATTTGAATAATCGGCTTTCCGTCGATATCTATAACCCTATAGATATGACCGATAGTTTGATTTTTGTGCCTAATCCGAGTTTGAAACAAATATGGCGGATCGCGTGGACGTTTTGAATGTGGTTGTTATCCTTGTTTATTTAATTGCTTTCCTTTTTCAAATAAACAGAAAATTCAAAAAATATTAATTAGATTTGAATTAGAGTTTTTGCATGTCTAGGAATCCTAAATATATCTAGAAGATAGAGTAGTTATTTAATTTAAATTAGGACTTGAGATGATTTATTTCCTAGTTTAAATTAAGTAATATTCTAATCTTAATAGATTATTCAGGTTATTCATTATTTCGAATTTTAACAAAAATCCTAAAAAGAAATCATGCTAGGGTAGATTAAGTCATCATAGTTTGCATGTTAATTTAGGCATTTTTATTATTCCGAATTTAAATTGAGAAAATACCAAAAATAATCATTCGTCCTGTCATTAGAAATAGGTCACGTCGTCGCACGACATATAGTTTGCATGCTAGGTTGCATTAATCGCATGTCATTTTCGCATGTCATTGCATATAGGCTAGATTTCATTTAAATAAGTGAAAATCCAAAAAAGAAATTGAGTGAATTGCTTGTTAATTAGAAATCATATTAGGGTGTCAATGTGATTTTCTAGCTAACAATGCAGATGCTTACGTTGCTTCCAGGTAAGTAATTCTTCCAAACTTGCAATTTATTTAATGCTTTCTGGGTGTTAAATTGGTGGTTTGCGCACTCGCATGAACACCTCACATGTTAGTAACTAAGTTGAAATGGATCCAAACTGTCTGCCAAAACATTTTTGAAAAGAAAAGGTACCGAAAGGGCGTTAGACCAGATCTAGCGTAATCAAGTCCCCGGGCTTAGAATCTCTGGTTCGTAGGAATAAAACATATCTCCCTATGTTTTATTTAGGTTTCTAATCGACCTACCATAAATTGATTAGTGGCGACTCCAAGCATGAAAACTTTTGCATGTTAAAAACTTAAACCCTAAGTTGCGAATTGGTAGGGCTTGGGAGGGCCCGAGTTAGGCTTAGTCCTAATAATCCATTAGCCTGAGAGAAATTTTAGGTCGCGACAAGTGGCCTTTAGTAAGGCTTGTAAATGGTATCTTCCTGGGGTTGACAATATGTTTATATAATGGCTTCGATGTTTGTTTACATGGTGTTTCTTTTGCTATCCCGTTTGTTTGATTGTCGATTGGAGAGTTCAAGGTTGCTTCCACATGTGTTACTCTTAAGTCAGTTATTAGGTCGGCGACAAGTCCTGGGATGTCGCATTCAAAAGACTGAGACGATATGTTGCGAGCTCGTAAGATTCGGGGCGTGACAACCCTGTTTAATGGGTATTAGAGCAAGGTCAGCTCGATCCAAGTCCGATTGAGACCTGGAGCGATAAGGAGCGATGATTTTTGGGATAGTTAGCTAGTTGAGACCTGTTTTGATCACGAGTTTAGAATTTTAATGCATGCCCTAAGAGTATGTGCTTGTGATTGCTTGGTATTTTCATGTTATTAACCTTGATTGCAGGTGCTGCAGGAAGAAAGGTAAGAGTAGAGCTCTGTTGACTATGTACTTATAATGCCTGTTTGGTGGTTGCTTTCTTTGTGATCGTTGTTGTGATTCGCTACTTAGAATTGCTCGGCTCGAATAGACGACTTAGGTATCTAATTCCTTGATGGAATTATAGAAGGCTTAGGTGTTTGGCGAGTGTCTTGTGAGGATGAGCAATCGTGGAAGGGGAAATAGGGGCCAGCCTAGTAGGCAAGCAGGAGCAGCTGAGGACCCTCGAGTAGATGGGGTCTTACGAGCCCTTGAAGCGATCGGAGATTTGATGGGACGGCAGGCTCGAGAACGAGCTACTGTTGTCGCTGAGGCCGCTGCCGCCGCCATTAATAGTAATCAAGGAAATGGAAATGGGGATCGTCAGATGCACCAGATAGTAGAACAATTTCTAAAGCTAAAACCGCCCAAGTTCGATGGAAAGGGTGATCCTGAAGCTGCCACCCTTTGGGTTGAGGAGTTGGAGAAGGCTTTTGAACTTCTAAGGTGCACAGAGGAGGATAAAGTGGTACTAACAGTGTATCTACTCCAAGGTAATGCAAGTGATTGGTGGAAGCCACTCGAGGTAGAATCTCTCCGGAAGGCACGGTTCCGAATTGGGATGCCATTGTCGAAGCCTTCAATGGGAAGTACTTCTCTGAGAGTGCACAAAAACAGAAAATGACAGAATTTCTACGACTTCGTCAGAATCAGTTGACCGGGGATCTGTATGAGGCGGAGTTTGCAAGGTTGTCTAAGTTCGCACTAAGAATGGTCGAGAACCCTCTAGATAGGGCAAGGAGGTTCCAGGATGGTCTGAAACCGGAGCTCCGTAGTCAGTTGATACTCTTGAACCTAAAGGATTACAATGAGCTTTATGAGCAGGCTCAAATGGTTGAGCTAGATATGACTGAAAGGGCTGCTGCATCTGGATAGCGGTATGCGCCGGCTAGGGACAACCGTCACTTCGGGAAGAAGCCTATGACGGGGGATAGACATTTCGTCCCTCATGTTAGGCAGAGTATTGTGAAGCCGACATACTACTCCAACGCCGCGTGCCGACCTTGTGGAAGGAAGCATGGGAATGGCCCTTGCCCAAGTAAGATTGGAGCTTGCTATGGATGTGGCCAACATGATCATCAAGTGAAGGATTATCCAAGCCGATTAGCTAGACCATAGCAAACCCAAGTGGAACAGTAAGCTAGTAAGCTGGAACTGCTTCCCAGAATAATCAGAATCGGCCGTAGGCACAAGGAAGAGTATATGCTATGGGCCGAAGAGAGGCGGAGGATGCGCTTGGCGTGATCACAGGTACGGTCTCTTTATATGATCATGCTGCCTATGCTTTGTTTGATCCAGGGGCTTCGCATTCATTTGTGTCTAAACAATTTGTTAGATTGACTGGGATTGAACTGAAACCGTTAGAAGTAATTTTGCGTGTTACCACCCCTCTTAAGGATGAAGTGCTAATTTCAGTAGGATGTCCAGGGTGTAAATTAGTTATTGGTGATAGGAAGGAAGTGATATACTTGGCAGCTTTAGCGATGTACGACTTTGATGTTTTCATTGGGATGGATTGGCTAGTGAAGCAGAAGGTTGTGATGGACTGTAGTAGCATGGTGATCCAATTTAATCCGATTGGTCATTCTAGATATGAGTTTGTGGGAAGTCGAGGAGGAATCTCGATCCCTTGGATTTCATCGCTTGAGGTGACTAAGTTGTTGGACGAAGGATGCCAAGATTACCTGGCGAATGTGGTTGACTCGTTGGTCGAGGATCCAAGGCTAGAAGACATAGCCGAGGTGCGTAATTTTCCCAATGTCTTTCCTCAGGAATTGCCGGTATTACCACCTAAGAGAGAAGTGGAATTTGTGATTACGTTGGCCATTGGAACGGAGCCAATCTCTAGAACGGCCTACAGAATGGCATTGTCAGAGTTAAAGGAATTGACGATACAAATGCAAGAGCTGCTTGATAAGGGATTCATTCGCCCTAATGCATCGCCATGAGGAGCACCAGTGTTGTTCGTAAGGAAGAAAATGGTTCGTTGCGTTTGTGCATCAACTATCGACAGTTGAACCAAGTGACCATCAGGAATAAGTATCCATTACCAAGAATAGATGACTTGTTCGATCAACTGCAAGGGGATTCGATATTCTCCAAGATAGACCTAAGGACGGGCTATCATCAGTTAAGGATCAAGAAGGAAGATATACCGAAAACGGCGTTTCGTACAAGATATGGACATTATGAATTTACCGTCATGCCGTTTGGATTGACTAACGCCCCAGTTGCTTTTATGGATTTGATGAATCAATTATTCAAAGAGTTCTTAGATTAGTTCGTCATCGTGTTCATCGATGACATTTTAGTATACTCAAAGAGCATTGAGGAGCATGAACAACATCAGAGAATGGTTCTACGGACCTTAAGAGAACACGCACTTTACGCCAAGTTTAGTAAGTGTGAGTTCTGGCTCAATCGGGTAGTGTTCCTTGGACATGTGATCTCTGGGGATGGAATCTCAGTGGATTCTACTAAGATCGAGGCAGTTACGAATTGGCCGAGACCGACGACAATAACAGAGGTTCAGAGTTTCGTAGGTCTGGCAGGCTATTATAGACGATTTGTGGAAAGGTTCTCTGCGATAGCTACTCCTTTGACTCACTTACTAAAGAAGGAAACAAAGTTCGAATGGACGGATAAGTGCGATAGGAGTTTCCAAGAGCTCAAGCACAAACTGACTACAGCACCAGTGTTGACGATACCATCAGGTCCTAGAGGATATGAGATTTATAGTGATGTGTCGCTAAAGGGATTAGGATGTATTCTAATGCAACATGGAAGAGTGGTTGCATACGCATCGCGACAATTAAGGCCTCACGAGCTAAACTACCCAATGCACGACTTGGAGCTGGCAGCTATCATCTTTGTGTTAAAAGATTTAGAGGCACTACTTGTATGGAGAAAGGTTTCAGATCTACACGGATTATCAGAGTTTAAAGTACTTGTTTTCTCAAAAAGAGTTGAACATGAGGCAGCATCGATGGATGGAACTTCTGAAGAATTACAACTGCGACATTCTGTACCACCCTGGGAAGGCTAACAAGGTAGCGGATGCATTTAGTCGGAAGTCAAGCATCGCACAGATGATGGTCAAGGAATGGACTCTGCTCGAAAGAGTAAGAGATTCGGAATTTATGTTCGAGGTAGGACACCTCTCGAGTTTGTTAGCTATCTTAAGGATTGAACATGAGATTCAGGCTATGATTAAGGCATTACAATCCACGGACTCTACCATTCAAAAGATTCTTCAAATGGATGCAGCTAAGAGAAAACCTGACTTTCAAGTATCCAAAGACGGGATCTTAAAGTTTCGTGGACGATTGTGTGTGCCCAGTGATGCAGAGCTTAAGGAGGAAATCTTAACAGAAACTCATCGTAGTAATTACATTATTCATTTAGGTAGCACCAAGATGTATCAGAATTTGCGTCAGCACTATTGGTGGAACAGAATGAAATTGGACATGGCCAAGCACGTAGCTAAGTGTGTTTAACGTGCCAGCAAGTGAAAGCACAGCATTGTAAGCTTGGCGGACTGTTGCGATCATTGGAAATCCCAAAATGGAAATGAGAGTATATCACTATGGACTTCGTCATGGGCTTACCAAGGAGTCAGAGAGACCATGATTCAATTTAGGTGGTAGTCGACAAATTGATCAAGTTAGCGCATTTTCTGGCTGTACGAAAGGATTTCGCAATGGATAGGTACGCTGAGCTGTATATGTGACAAATAGTCTGTCTTCACGGAGTACCAGTTACGATCACGTCGGATCGAGACCCTAGGTTTACCACCACCTTTTGGAAAAGTCTTCAGACGGCTATAGGGACGAAGCTGCAATATAGCACAGCCTATCATCCGCAGACGAATGGTCAGTCTGAGAGTACGATTTAGACGCTCGAGGATATGTTGCGAGCTTGTGTAGTGGAATTCAAAGGAGGATGGGAAGAATGGTTACATCTCGTCAAGTTCGCCTACAACAACAGTTATTAATAGAGTATCACGATGTCGCCATTTGAAGCATTGTATGGTAGGACCTGCAGAACTCCAGTATGCTGGGATGAAGTTGGTGAAAGAAGTATAACAGGTCCAGAATTGGTACAACAGTCAGTCGAGGCAGTTGAAGTCATTAGAGAAAGGTTTAAGACAGCTCAAAGTCATCAAAAGTCAGTCGAGGCAGTTGAAGTCATTAGAGAAAGGTTTAAGACAGCTCAAAGTCATCAAAAGAACTCCGTAGACAAACGGCAAACGCCTTTGGAATTTCAAGTGGGAGATCATGTTTTTCTCAAGGTGTCACCAATGCGAGGAACTTCGCGATTCGGCAAGAAAGAAAAACTAAGCCTAAGATATGTTGGACCATTTGAAATCTTGGAACGAATTGGAATCTTGGCTTATTGCTTAGCCTTGCTACCGAATTTGGCTCAAGTTCACAATGTCTTCCACGTGTCCATGCTAAGGAAATATGAATCGGATCCAACCTACGTGCTTAATCATGAAGAGATAGATGTGGACGACAGAGTGTCGTACGTGGAGAAACATATTCGGATAGAGGACAGAAAAGAAAAGTTTTGCGAAGCAAGATGATTCCGTTAGTTAAAGTAGTTTGGCAGCATCGAGGAATAGAAGGAGCCACATGCAAAAGTGAAGAAGTGATGAGGCGTCAGCATCCCCATTTGTTTGAGTAATTAAGTTGATTGTAAATTTCGAGGACGAAATTTTTGTAAGGGGGGAAGAGTTGTGATATTCTGAATTTCGACCCTTTCGGGATTTAGGAAATGAATATTTCATCGATGCACTTTTAGTTAAATCTCGCTTAGAATTGATCACTCATGAGAAGACTAACCATTAGGGAAATGCCAATTAGGAATTAAGTATGCACGACCGAAGGACTCGACCATGGTTTGACACTTCGACCATGAGGATTGACGAGGGACAATTTTGGGCCATTATAGACCAATTAAGAGATGATTATGGAACGATTTGCCAATGTTATACAATTGGATCACTGATGATTTCGTTTGACCATTGTATGGATTTCAAATGACCTAAGACCAATTTCTAATGATCGTGTTCTTCGGAACTAGTGATTTACCCTCTCAATTATATGACAACCGAAGTCACCATGGCTTGAGTAAACTAAAACATGGCTTGATATCAAATGAATCACCGGTCGAATACGCATAACTCCTAAATGCCGCCCGTTAGTTTGAGATACACTAAAGTCGCAATTGATCAATTTTGGCCATAAATTAGAATCCGAACTTAGGTATCGAACTTTTAAGGATATCAAGACTAATCTATTGAACGTCGCCTCATTAAACTTATCTAGTTATCGGTTCGCTTGAAAATTCTTGGAAAAGTGAAATTCGGATCGGAAATTGGAAAATGCCATTTTACCCCTAAGTGTTTTAGGATCTCTTTGTTGTGTGGAAGGGCCTTTTGGTCCTTTGTGCCCTCCCTAGTGTGGCCGACCAGCAAAGGACAGATTTGCCCATCTTGTCTTTTGTTATTTTCTTGTTTGCCCTTGTCGCGCCGCGCTTTTTGGGGTTTTCGAGATTTACGCGCTAAGGAGGTATTTCTGTGTAAGGGTCTCTCCTAGACCATACCTCACGTGATAGCGGGTGGTAACTTCCTATTTAATCTAAGTTTGTGATTTTGGAGTCTCCACTAGTCATTATTGGTAGGTAGACTAGAAACCTAATCGAGGTACGGGAGAAATACCACGATTCTACGAACCAGAGATTTTGAGTACGGGGACTTGGTTACGTTACTGATCCCGAATCGAGATCCCTAACGCCCTTTCGGTACCTAAGAATGATACGATGTCTAACGTGTCATGCAAATTTCCGAGGCTTACCCACTAATTCTATCCATT